AGAAAGAAGAGGCTGAAAAACTGACCACCAAGACAGCAAGAACTGGATAACAGAGGGCTGTGAAATACCTGGACTGTAACCAATCACATACTGTGAGAAATGCAGGCAGAAAATGAGTGAACAACACAAAGGCACCAATCAAGAATTGTGTACTTAGTAGTTTGTAGAATCTATAAAAATGTGTGCAAGGTAAACAATAAATGGCTTCTGCTTTTGGTCGGAATTTCAGGAGTCCTGGATTTCCCACATCCAGGCAGGACTGGCTGTCCCCGTGTCCCGTGAGGTGTCACTGCCATCCAGTCCCAACTTTATGCAATTCTTGGATGTACTCGTGCTGGAGAACAAGCCAGTCCTAAAACTCACTGGATTTTTTTTTTTTATGTTAATTTGAAGACTTGAAATTCCGAAAGTTCTTCTCAGCTGCTTTCCAGGAGTGTCAGGCTGAGTCCTTCCAAGATCTGCTGCTTTCTCAGCAGCACTTCAGCTCCGGGGATGGCGGCTGCTCTGCTGTGTGGAGTCTGAGATTTCCTGAGATCTGAACGTGGGATCCTTCTCAATGAGGAGCTAATTACCTGTGCTGTAATTACGAGTCGCTAATCACCAGCACTATTAGCGCAGGGATGACAGCGGTGCTGTCTCATCTCTCTCTGCCTCTTCACCGCCTGTGGGAAGCGTTTCTGGCTGATTTCTGAGCAGCAAACCTGAATTGCAGAGGTTTGAGGATGCCATCAGTCTTGCATTGCCGTGCCCTTGGCGTGTGTGCCATGCAAGCCAAAGCAGGAGGAGGATTTAGGATGCTCCATCCCAGCTCTCTGCTGTCACACAGCAAAGTTAATCACACACTCAGGGGATGAAGATTGTGGGTTGTTGATTTTTATCCCTCGTTGGTGTGACAGGATTTTTAATTTAAGGCCAACGTGGATAAAGCAGTTACAAGAATTTCATTAGTTTATTAAGTTTACTGACCCTGGTGGTTATTGAGGAGCTGCCTCTGTCTCTTGTGTGCCTCGAGGGGCTCTGGAATTGCCCTGGAGTGGCTGTCTCAGTGCATATTTCACAGCGAGATTGATTTTCCTCCTCCACCCACCAAGGTGGAAAGCAGCAGCCATCCATTTCCTGGTGACACTAAGAACCAGCCACTCTCCAGGAGAAAAATGTGACACGAGGAGCCTGACTGGATGTGGTTTCCATGATGGATGCACTGCCCTGGAATCCTGCTTGTTCCTGCTGTCTCTGTGCAATCAGCTACAACCTGGGCAGGGGCACCTTCCACCATCTCAGGCTTCTCCCGACCCATCCTGGCCTTGGCACTGCCAGGGATCCAGGGCAGCCACAGCTGCTCTGGGCCAAGACCTCTCCACCCTCACAAAAAAAATCACGATGTTATGAATAAGAAGATTGACTAGGCCAATATTCAAGCAGCAATCAATTTATTAATTAATATGGTAAAGTATGAGCAATACAGTGCTGGGTACAGTGGGAGAAGTTTTCCCTCCAACTGCACACCCATAGTTGAGGCTTACAGGTATTTATAGGGGTGCTCATAAGCTTTCTCAGCAGTTTCTATCCCAATTTTTATTCGTCAGCAGTTTCTATTTCCCAATTTTTACATCACAATTCTATACACTACTGTGATTTAGTTTTTCTCAGGATGTATCCCAAAAGGAGTATCCCCAGATGGTGGTGGTCCAGTTTCTGAAAGAAGAAAGAGGAATCCCATCTGGTGGAGTCCAGCTCCCCAGATGTGTCCACCTTTTAATTGCAGAGACTATAAATCTCACAACAGTGATGTCCAACTTCCCTTGGTTGAAACCATAAACCCTTGAGTTGATGTTCATCTTCCTTTCTCAAACTGTTTTTCTCTGCTTTATTAAGGTGTGAGATAAGCATATTTTCTTTATATATATTCCAAAGCTATAGTTTCAAGGATACAAGTAATATTCTAAAATTATACTTCAAAAGTTTATTATTGCAGAACTCTTTAAGCCTTAACTATAAGCAAAAAGCAACATCCTTAATGCTTTAATTCCAATGCTTCTAAATCAACTAAGGTTAATTGCAAACAAAAGATAGGTTTAAAGGCCTTCTTCCATGCTTTATTTTCCTCAGTTATTATTAGTATTTGCAACTGTCCCATGGTCAGTCTCCACACATATCACAATCACAAATACACACATTGCCTGTATGTACCTGACACGAAACACAGCTTTGTATTTCACAATGACACATTCCAGAACTGGCCAAAGGGTTGAAAACCAGCTCTGAAAAAAAATCCTGGAGGTAAAACTGGGCAGGAAGCAGAAAATTCCTGCTCAGGCTTTTCCTTTCTGGTGATTTGAGAGATTTGTGTAAGTCAATGGCATAAATGGGAATTATGCTGAATAAAAAAGGGAAGCCTATTTACTGCTCCCAACCCTTCCCATGGGGCTCTCTGGGTTTTCATTTGGAGCTGGCAGGGAAACTTCAGTTGAAATATTTTTAGATGAAATAAGGCATTTTGATATCATCCCCCCCCTTTCTTTGAATGTGTTCTGAAATCTGTTGAAGAGCTCTCAAAGGGAAATTCTGGGAGTTTTCTAGTTGCAGCAAATGGGGAATATTTCAGTTCCTGAATGGTGATGGACATAGTGGAAGAGACACACATCATTAATATTTCATTTCACATAGAAAACCCTCTTTTTAACAAGTCTCAGCTTCACCAAACCTCTCTGTCATCTCCTTAAATGAGAAAGAACAAGTGGAGCTCCTCTCACCAAGAAGATCCTAAATCAAGACCCTCCAGTCTTGAACCTGATTGAGCAGCAGCTCTGGAGCATTCAGGAGTAATTTCATGGGCAGGAACACAAGGAATTGCAACTCTGGAGCATTCAGGAGGAATTTCATGGGACCCAAGGAATTGCCTTCTCCTGGAAGTGACATTCCCAAATTCTACAGCAATGCCTGGACAAGGCAGTGGCCCACAGGAACCTCAGGAGGTTCCAGCAGTGCTGGAGCTGCCCCTGGGTCAGGAGAACCCCCAGGCCCAACCCAGGCTGGGCTGAGCAGCTGGAGCAGCCCTGAGAGGGAGCTGGGGGTGCTGGGGGTGAGAGCTGGAGCTGCCCCAGCCCTGAGCCCCTGCCCTGGGCTGGGCCCAGCGTGGGC